ACAAACAAACAACATCAACTCTCAAAGAAGTAAGTCTTTGAACCATATTCTTTTACTTATAAGGATAGTTTGACCCCTCCACGTTCCAAAAATTAACTATCGTTTAGAACAAAGAGGAGATGAAGTACCAAACTTCTTTGCACCCTTGTTTATTTTCTGCTTACATATCACAATTGAACCAAAAACTATCAAGGGTAAAAGTCATCACCCAAGTCAGTAGCACCCACCAAGTTCATAAAATGATCAACCACAACAGATCTAGAATTTAAAATAATTTCATCCCCTAGTGTAGAATGAAGCTCCTGTAAAGCTGATTTTTCCACGATAATTCCATCTGAAGCGCTTTCAATCGACACCAAATCCCCAATAACCACATAATCCAATATAGTTAAACTCCTATCAGGAATAACTTCCTTCACAGCAAGAAAGTTTACTGAGGACACACCCTCGTTAACCATCGCCTTCTCCTAAATATCCTTAGCCTACCAAACCTACTTCACTTTATCATCAACTTTAGGAGCGGCAGGGTATAATCTATTAGAGTGGCCAAAACCCCCACATCTTAGGCAACAAGGAGGTCTTCAAGTTCCATCCACCTTATTTTTCACCAAATATCCATCTGAAAGAATCATTTTCACAAATTTAGGGATCATTGTATCAACACTCACCTCTGTGTAAACTTTCATAAACTCTAATATCTGTCTAAATTCAGTGATAGAATCCATACAAAGAGGCACTCTAATAGCATTAGAAATATAATTAAGCCCACGCCTAGAAAACAACTCTAAAGGAACATTAAAGAGGTAAATCCAAATCAGAAGCTTCAAAAGATTAAAATCAAGCTTTGCTAGATTTGACACCCATTTCTTAAGAATCAAAGGTTTATTATGCACATGTCAGGGACCATTTTCTCCACAGAATACCCAACACCAACAAAAGAAAAAAATGTATAAATGTGAACCAGCTAAGCTTACCTTAGTCATCGACGATTTGCTCCACATAATACCTACAATCTTTTGGAGAGCACTAAAGTTCAGTGGAGGTCCAATAAACTGTTGTCATCACCCATTTTATCTGGTTAGTGGTGGTATTTTTAAGGGGCTTTATGATTTTATAAATATACATTTAGTATATAGTTTTAAAAAAATAGTTTTAGTTTTTTGATCAAATAGAGTATTAATATAATTTTCGTAGAATAAATATAGTTTTAATTTTAGTATATAGATTTTGTGAATATAATAGTGATATATAGTTTTTGTGTTAAGTGTATAGTTGTTTCATTAACTACATATTAAATATAAGGTTTTCATATTATATAATATTGATGTACATATTAGTTAATATGTTTTTATGTGCATGTAGTATCCATATTAATTACAATATACTTTGCATGGTAGAATATAATATACTACTATAATAAAGTTTACTAGGCTAGTCCATTTTCATTTTATAGAATGATAGACTCAATTTTGTAAATAAAGAAAACCATTACATTGCATATGTTGCCCATTTACAAGTACCCTGTTTACAAAAATTTAAAAGCCCATGTTTTAAGCCCACTTTGTGTGAAAATGATAGAAACCCTAATTTTCTTGGTGTGAAATAGGGGAGAAAATTTTTTACTTTCAATTTAAATGAGGACAATGCATTAAATAGAGGGGCCCATTGTACTTATGGGGGTGCAAGTTTCTAGAAATGACATGTCATTCATCCAAGTGAAAGAAACACAAAAAAGTTGGAACCATTGATAAAGACTACATCCAAGGGCTACTGGAGTGCCACATCATCATCAGAAAGCTTTCATCGTCGCTGGAACATTGTTGGTGTGTGGTCGATAGCTTCTCATAATGATCACACGCCACCTCACCATCCTCCATGCTCCGGTCGTTGTCATTTCACACTGGAAAAATCATCAAAAAATCATAAAAATAGATAAAGTGAGAATGAAGTTTATAGCATCTCAAAAATGAAGTTTGTTGGAAGAAACGGTTGTAACAAACTTTGAGTGGGTTTAGTAACAAACCAAGGTCATTTGGTAGTATAAATGAACACTAATCACACCATAATCAAGAGGGATTAACAAAGCATAAACTACACTCAAGCAAAAGAGGAAAATAAGTGAAGGGTAAGAAGTATACCCTTGTCGGAGTATCGTCGAAACTTCGGGATTTGCTTGAAGGCTTGCACCGAATGTGAGCTTTGTTTGTTGCTTTGGTCTTTTATTTATTTCGAAAAAAAGGAGGATTTTGAAGATAACACCGTCGTGCTTGGTGGTTGCCGGCGGCGGTATGGTGGTCGGTCGAAGGTCGACGGTCGGTGGACATTGGATTTTGGTGGTGGTTTCGGGTAGTTAGGAGGTTGAAGATGAGTGGTTTCTCTTGCAACATGGTTTAGTGTTAGGATAAAGGAATAACACTTTAGGATTTGTGGAGGTGTTTTTGGGATTTTGGGTTGTAGATTTTTAAAAAAAACAAGTTTGAGTTCTTTTTTGATGTTGATTTTGGATCAAATAAAGAAAAAGGGGACGAACAAGGATGTTGTTCTTGAAAAAATATGAGTTTGGTCTTGAAAGAACAAGTTTTGGGGTAGTCTTAGTGTTTGTATTGGATCAAACAAGGTTATAAGATGAGTTTTGGTATGAATGTAGGATGAACAAAGATGACATGGAAGAGAGGAGAGAGGAACGGTTGAGAGAATATGGAGAGGAAGAAAAAATTTTAGGTGAAAATGAGGTGTTGTCCTAAAATTTGGGCTTTTATATTAGAAATAAATTTTGGGAAAATTGCTTCATAAATCCCCTATTGTACCCATGTTTTGGTTTGGATATGTGGCATTTCATTTCTTTTATTTCGGTCACCGTCAAATTGCAACTTGTGTACTTTAAATTTTCTTTCAGTGCAATTCCGTCCTCAAATTGTTCCATGTGTTTATTTATTGCATGTATACATTATTTTTTTAATTCCTATTTTGATCATTTGTTTAATTATATGCTAAAGCCTTTAGATTTTAGGTTCTTTAGTTTTAGTCACTTATTAGATTTAATTAGAGTCATTAGGATTTAGATTATTTTTATCTAGTTAATTAGACTAGTTAGATTATAATTAAACATTTTTAGTTTCTTTTAAAAAATTAGAAACTCATTTTTAACGCATAATTGAGATTAATTAAAAATATTTGTTTGTTTTCTAATATTGAAATGAGTGCTCCTAACATAAATGGACGTTCAATTTTAATATTAGTAAACAAATAAATATTTTTCAAGTGGTTACTGAAAGTTAAATTAGGTCTTATTAATTAAAAATAATTATTAATTCTTTTTTCCTCAGTGATTCGATTAAGCTTTTAGTTCTTAGTTTTTTTCTAAAATTATTATTTTTTTATCAAAACTTTAATGACATTTTCTTAACATTTGTAATTAAAATGATGGGAAATGATTCCCTAAACACAACTAGGGAGTTACTTTCTTCGTTAATTAAAAATAAACAAATCGTTTCATATTTTTCTTAATTTTTGGAAATACAGAAAATGCTAACATTATTTCAATTAGAACATAAGAAATAATTTCCTTAACACAACTAGGAGTTACTTTCTTCGTTAATTAAAAATAAACAAATTATTTCATATTTTTCTTAATTTTTGAAAATATAAAAAATGCTAACATTATTTCAATTAGAACATAAGAAATAATTTCCTTAACACAACTAGGGAGTTAATTTCTTCATTAATTAAAAATAATAATAGACATTTTGTTTTTTTCTTCTTCTTTTAAAACTGAATTTTTTCTAATATTTTGATTGAAAATATGAAATAATTTCCTTAACACAACTAGAGAGTTACTTTCTTCTTTAATTAGAAATAATAATAATAATAATAATAATATTTTTTCTTCGCTAAAATTCTTTTAAAATATTTTAAGAATAAAAGGAATTTAATTCAAATTCTTAAATTTCTAATAATAAGGACAACAATATAATTGACGGTACCGATTTGGAGTGTTATAGGGGTGCTAATCTTTTCCGAACGTAATTGACTCCCGAACCCAGAACTCACGTCTTTTTAATTTTTTTATTAAAATTATTTAAAAAGGGCGATTTCTTGGGTTTTCAACCTATCTAATTCCAAAAGTCGATGACGAGTTTAATCTTTTTCAAACATTTTTAATTTCCGTCAAACAAGAAACTCCTCAAATCCTCGTCGAGCGAAAAAGATTGTCATGACAACTGTCCAACGAATGAAAGCTCCCATTCCCGAACATCTTCCTCAAACACGTCAGATAGGGGATGAACTTTAACAGACCCATCGCAAGGCACAAACGGGAAGTAATCCAGCAAATTATCCCCCACGCCCTTGAAAAGCGTCCTCCAATCAAGCTCACTAGAAGAAGAATTAGACATGAGAAAAAGAAGAAGAAGAAAAAAAACACTACCCAAACACCAACAAAACAAAACCCAGTCCATCAGCAACTCAAAATCCAAGCGAACAAGGTCAAAGCTCATGGCGACAATTAGCTCTACTAACATGCACCTAGAGAAAACTCTACTAACATTATTGATCAATTAATGAATTTTATTTAAATATAAATTATTTTATCTTAAAATAAAATATTGAAAATTAAATTAATTATTTAAATAAACACTAAGAGGTAGTTTTCACATCATGTTTTTCTTAATCCATGTTACTTCTTTTGATCATCTCAATGTCCATGATTTCCTTGGGTACACTTTCAAGACTTGTAAAAGAAAAGACAGGAAAAATAAGAGCACATAAATAATCTCTTGATGTCACCCAATCAAAACTCTCGGGTTTAGGGACTAATTGTACTTTAACACCGATATTACACAAAACGGTAATCATCTAAACACTCCAACGTCGTTTAATAACCGCTTCGATTTCACATATTTTCAAGCTCTATGTGATTATCGTACACCAAACTCCAATAAAAGAAGCTTAATCCTTTTGATTAATTTGATTAATGCAACGTTAGCATTAGCTAAAACCCTTCAAGAAATATCAATCTCTATCAAATTATCATCTTCTCCACGAAAATCAACCTCTCTCTCGTCGAGTTCTAACTCAATCAACCCTTCTCTATCTTCCTCTTCCCATCGATAACCCATCTTCACCGACGGAACCCATTTACCGATCGCCGGAAAGTCCATTTCCTCTCCCGATGAACTATCCGAATCCGATTCCGGGTAGTAAAGAGCTAACGACGGGTACCTCTCGATGCCACGCGTCGGATCCAAATTCAAATTCGGATCCTTCGCCTCTTCGTCTCCTTCTTCGAATTCTTCGTATATAACCTCTAACGGAGCTCTTACGTCCCATTCGACGAACCTTTCTTCGAAGCTCTGCACTATAAGGTTTGGCTCGTTTTTGCATGTTGTCCATTTGAGCTCTACCGGTGCAGACTCTTCTTCTTCTTCTTCAAGCTCTGCAACTCTCGCCACGCTTCCTTTTATTATTTTTTCCGTTTGGATTCTCTGTGATGCACCGAAACGAAGTAGGGAAAGCAAGAGAGAAGCTGACAAGACGAGGACCGGAGAGAAAAGGAGGGAGAATCTATGGGGAAAATAAAGAAGAATCAACATGGAAAGAGTGATGATGCAAGAGAAAAGTGGATCGTTGGTGATTGTTTTCGTTGGATAAACCATTGTTGTGACGATTTCAATGGATTTCAAACAACTCCAAGGATTCACATTCTCAAATTCTTCCAAAAAAATGAAAATTTCTGCAGAAAATTCAATGGAGAGGAGGTTTTAAAAGGGCAATTTTTATTTTGTGAAGAGTGCGTGAAAATTAGGCATGGAATTGGAATATGAGGAAAGTATTGATGGGAAGAGGAATAGACGCGAGACCAAATCCGACCAGTTTTAATTGATTTGATTTGATAGGGTTAAATTTTTAAGATAATTTTAGTTTAAATTAAGTTAGATATGAATTGAGGGTGAAAAATATTCAATTCAACCTGAAAAATAATGTAAATTTAACTTATATATTTAAAAATAATTATAATAATAATTTTTTATATAATAATTTTCAATTAAAATTTTATTTTTATTAAATAAAAATAATATTTTTATTAATATATTTATTTCAGATAAGGTCAAGTTTTAGTTTTATCTCAAAAAAATTAGATTGAGTTTGAATCAGATGAAGTCATCTGTAAATTTAGGTCGGATCAAAATTTAGATAGAAGATATATATATATATATATATTGGGTTGGATCAGGATGACCAAACCCGACCGACCCATAACCATCCTCATGGGAATGTGCAATTACCGAGATGACCATGCTTAATAATAATATTATAGCGATCATTTTGTAATAATTGAATAAATGGGTTTTTGTTAATATCAATCTTAAAAGATGATTAATGGTCTTAATTAGTGAAATAAGATATTAAACATGAGTAAAATACCAAGTCCTCTTAGTCTTCCCATGTATAAACAAGTATTAAATTTGAAACATTTGGTAGAATATTTTTGGGTAAAGTACACAAATGGTCCCCAGACTATAGAATATTGCTTTATTAAGTTCTTTAACTATTAAAAGTTATAAAATGGTCCATAACCATAGAATGTTTCTTTTTTAGTCCCCAACCATTAAAAGTTACAAAATGATCACCTAACTATTCATTATGTTTCAAACTCATCCTTTTTGTTAAAAAAATTATGATAGTTTGAGTTGAACTTTAATCTGCTGACTGAGATACGACAAAACTTGATCTCAAAATCTCAAACGACTATCATATCTCAGTCAATAGATTAACATCCAACTCAAATTGTTATCAATTTTTTAACGAAGAAGGACTAGTTTGGAACACAATGAATGGTCGGTGACCATTTTGTAACTTTTAATAGTCGAGGGACTTAATAAAATAATACTATATAGTCAAGGGAGCATTTGTACATTTTACCCAATATTTGTTGGTGTTAATGATTTAGTCGAGGCCTTTGCATCTTTAGTGTTTAAGTAAGATTTCTCGCGAGTGATTAGGGTGTGTTTGATAATGCTGTATAAAAGTATTTTTAGTTAAAAAGTTCATTTAACTGTAAAATCAATGGTAAACGGGTAAAAATTAAATAAAATGTTATGCGAAACGTGGCTTCAAACCAACCACAAAAATTGAGATTTCTAGCTTTTTCATTTCCAATTTTGTCTTTAGAAACAAATCTATATTTTTACCCTACCTAATATAGTAATATATGGTCTCCACTTATTTGCTATCAGAAAAAACTTTGAAATTCAATTTATTTTATTAATTATTTATTTACATTTTATTTAAATAATTTAATATTAACATCTTTAAGAAAATAATTTATTACATAATTATTTATTTTAATTACTTAAAAGTAAATAAAATTTATGGTTTATTTATTAAAATATTAATAGTGAGTTATTATAAAATATATTTATATTTTTAAAATTTTTATTATAGTTTGAATTGATATATTTCATATATATAAAAATTTATTTATAATACAAATCTTTTTTATTTTTTAATTGTTAATAGAATAAATGTATTTTTGAATGGTTAAAAAATAAATATATTTCATATATAATAATAATTTATTTTAAATTTTAAATGAGTGATTGTGATTAAATCGGAATAATTAAACTATTATTTCAAAATTCAAATGTTAAAAATTATTGATAGTATATTTTTTTATATTTAAATATTATTAACGAGTTATCTTAAAATATTTTTTATACTTTTATTATAGTTTTTTATATATCATTGTATTACTAAGTGTAAATATAATTTAAATGTTTTATTTTAAATTACAATATTAAATGGACATATTTTCTTTTTAAAATCACTTTTTAATAGCAATCTCAAATATAATTGATGTATTGGTGTTGTATAGGCATTTGTTGTTGGTGTTTGTTTAGGATAATTTGTTTGTACAACGGAAGGTTTTAGTTGTTGCTGCTTTTAGGAAGTTGTTTTGAGTTGTAGACTATCGAATTGTTATCTTTATTTTACAAACAACATAGTTTTAGTGCCAGTCACCAATTATTTGTATTTTTTTCTAGTATATATTCATTTTTTTATAATTTTATTTTGATGACATATTTCATATGCCTACATAGCATATTTTCTTTTGAGACATTAAAAATATGAGTAGTGAAAGAAAATTAATAGAAGTTAAAACAATATATCTGATATGAACAATTGTTGAACATATTGGTTTTGTGGGGACTATGATACGTTCCCACAATTATTTCTTCCTTTTCTCCCTCATTCATTCACCTTCTTGGTCATCTTTGCTTTTCATTTCCCATCATGTTTGTTTTTCTTAATCTTCTTTTCTTTTATTTGAAAAGGAAATTAAATTATATTACGGATAATGGTAAGAAAATGATTGCAAAACAATCAAAATACGTATATTTATGCGGAAAATAAGAATACACTTTGCACTATAGTGCTTATACCAAAGATTGAGAATGAGACTGAGCGACCACAAAGGAGTGGGATGGTCCAAGCTGTTGCTTTCAGCATCTACCAAAAGCCAAGGCTTTTTCTTCCCCTTGCCTTGCATATCTATAAACTGAAAAAGAACCTAACCCTTTAAGCATTAGTTAACTGGACCTGGACCAGCACCACCAGGCGTGGATGTCTGTCTGTACTGATAAATACCCCATCCATTTCTTTTGCTTACCATGCACGTGGTATGTGTTAAAAAAGTAAGGTATCCCCAAAAGCATTGCCTTAAAAAAAGTCACTTGGTGGGAAATAGTTATCCAACCAACCCTTTGATTTTGATCAAACATTTTTCATGTTATTATCTTAAAATTGTTATCTATCTAAATTGATTGAGTGTTAGTTCGATTGATATCGATAATTTTGTGTTCTTAGTGATTAAAAGTTCATTTAAGTGTAAAATATCCATTTCGATAAAATATTATTAATTTATCATTCATAACTACTTTCTTTTCAATTTCAAATCTCAGGAACCTAACTCTTATCTCTTACTATAGTTTTGGGTCTACCTAGCTTGACTTCCAAGAAAAAAATAATGCAGGGTTATGATTGAATGTGGAAGAACAAGCAATGAATTTGCAGCCTTGAGGTACTTTCTCTTCTCATTAGTGGAATATCCCGTTCTTGATAACGTCAAAATAAAGTTGATGATAAAGGGATTTTTTATAATTAATTGCTGTGATCAATGCAAGCATCCATACAAGACACATTTATGTATTTGTGATGTTCATACATGTGTGTTGTTAGTGTTGATTGTTTGATCAACGTTTGTGTTGATATTTATTATAACTGGTCACTGAAGTTTAAGTCTTCATTTTTCTCACTGAAACTTTAAAAGTGACGATTTAATCACCAACGTTATCGATTTATAAAAAATCGATCACTCATTCTTAATGACCGTTAACATAGGTGACGATAAACTGGATTGTTTAGCACCATTTCACCACACTGGACGAGAATTGACCAATTTTTACTCATTCTTGCCTTTTTATATTTATCAATTGAAATTCATCTTCTTTATTCGAATCAACGAATCTAGAAATGATGTATCAACTTTAGGTGATATCCATTTTATAATTGCATCGGAAGACAAAATCACTTGAGTGCGATTTATATTCACGATTATATTGATAGGTGGTCTTAAAGCCGGAAAACCAGCGTACGTGTAGGCTTGGGCTAATGTTGGTTCGTTTAGACTAGGCTTATGTTCTTCGTCGACTCTGTGGGTTCTGACATGGTTGACATTGGTTCGTGTGGCTGAGACTGAATTGGAAGCTAAACAAGAAGACGGACCCAAAAACTTAGGAGAAAACAAATTATCTTCTCCATGCGTGGATTCTCTTCTCTTTATCTTTTCCAAGCTTGCAGAACATAAATGCGGTGTGTAGACACTCATTTTCACCCGAATTTGAGTTTTTTATTTTTATTTATTATAGGCATATATACGATAATATAGTATAATTTTTTGAAAGTGTTTTTGAAAAATATAACATATAGTTTACAAAAAAATGGTTTCTGAAAATATATATATAATATAGTTTTTTTAAAAACGTTTTTGAAAACTTATATACAATATATAAGTTTTAAAACATTTTGAAAATTATATAACATATATTTTTGAAATCATTTTGAAAATATAATGTATAGTTTAAAAAAACATTTTTGAAAATTTTATATAATATATAGTTTTAAAAATATTTTGGAAAACTCATATAATATTTTTAAAATTATTTTTGAAAACTATATGGTATATAGTTTTGAAAACATTTTTAAATATAATATATAGTTTAAAAAATATTTTTTGAGATATATATATTATTATATAGTCTATATTATTATTAGTATTTTTATTATTTCTTTTCATTTTATTCACTTTATTCATTTAATTTCATTTATTCTGTTTTATGGTCCAGGTCCAAAGATTGGGTCTAAGAGAAGTCCACTGTTCGGGTCCAATATGTTTGAGGCCTGAACCAGTCCAAACCCTACAAATTAGGGTTTACACATTCAAGCAACAGGTGCCGCATGGGGAGTTACCCAGTCAAAGAGGAGAACCGGCCGGCTGGGAAAACCGGGACTGCACCATCCCTGGATTCCCGGCCACGTGAAGCAATGATAGGCCCGAAGGGTACGGGAACGACCTCGTCATCACCAGAAATAGCCC